TAGGGCGTAACAGTGGTCCTCCCAAGTTCAAGCATGAATATTTATATCATGGTGAACTTGTTTTCCCGATCGAGTATGCCTGCCTTGGTTTGTGATAGAGAACTAGCATGGAAGGGCGAAGTGTGTAGATGGCCCGAAAGCTTATGGGTCGATTTTTGTGTTCATTTGTACCGATGCGCTGACCCACAGGACGACGCTTTGGGGGGATAAATCTTTGTAAAGCTTAGGGAGAATGCAGCTACCGAGGCGATGATCTACAGGGGACTCCGCGTCAGGTGCGTCTAAACTTTGTAAAGCTGTGTGGGGAGCTTATCTGCCACTGATGCGCTGACCCTTAGGGGGACAACGCGTTGTGAGATGGCTAAGTCTTTGTAAAGATTAGGAGAAACGCAGCTACTGAGGTGATGACCCACAGGGGACTCCGTATTAGGTGCGTCTAAGTTTTGTAAAGCTGAGTGGGGAGCTTATCTGCTACCGATGCCCTGACCCTTAGGGGACGACGCGTTGTGAGATGGCTAAATCTTTGTAAAGCTTAGGAGGAACGCAACTACTAAGACGATGACCCACAGGGGACTTCACATCAGGTGCGTCTAATCTTTATAAAGCTGGGTGAGGAGCTCATCTGCCACCGATGCGCTGACCCGTAGGGGACGACGCGTTGTGAGATGGCTAAATATTTTTAAAGCTTAGGAGGAACACAGTTATCGAGGTGATGACCCACAGGGGACTCCACGTCAGGTGTGTCTAAACTTTGTAAAGTCGAGTGTGGAGCTCATCTACTACTGATGCGCTGACCCTTAGGGGACGACGCGTTGTGAGATGGCTAAATCTTTGTGAAGCTTAGGAGGAACGCAGCTATCGAGGCGATGACCCACAGGGGACTCCGCGTCAGGTGCATCTAAACTTTGTAAAGCTGATGATTTCGATCTGAGGTGAACATTCCTGACATCAAATGATTTGACAGCTGTCGCGTATTTCCAAGGCGACAGTTGGGTGCGATGCCCATTCCCAAAAAAGGCTGCTGCAGCTACTTATTGTAGATAGCTGATGGTGATCGAGGCGACGTGTTTTATGCAAGCATGAGGGTCACAACTTGATCTTGGGCGTAGATCAAATCTGGCGTTTCATATTAACGGCTCAGATTTATGATACGATGGACGGCCTAGATTGATTGTGTTTGAATTCAGCGATGGAGATCGGCTGGGACGCTCTATAAAAGGCGGACTTGAGCATTTTGAGAGTTTTTCACTTTTGCAAAATTAGAAAATCCATTTCCTCTCAAGATTCTTGCATTTTTTGGCATTGTACAACCATTCTCCAGCCACATTTCCAGTTTCCGACGATATCACGTTGGGTGTTGATCTTTTCCGACCGTAGGTCCCTCAGTTTCTTGAGTTCTAGTAAGTATTTTCCAAGTTTTTTTCACATTTTTGTATTCTGCAATGGCTTCGAATGGTAGTAGGGCTTTGGGAAGGGATTTGGATGTGGATGAGCCTATTTTGATGACACCCACCGAGGTCATCGAGGCAATATTGGGGGAAGAATATTTGGAGAAGGCCTGACAGCCCGGTAGATACATTAGAACACTGAGAGGGCTTCGGATTACCCGTTGAAATTGAAGAAGGTCGATCTGGATAGACTTAGGGCTGAATATAGGATACCTACTAGTCTAGAACTGATATTACCGGAGCCTGATGAGAGGGCCTGCTATCCGAGGCCGAGGCGTGTGGCCGTGAGTGAGGCACTTTTTAGAGCTGGACTTAGGCTTTCCTTCCATCCCTTCTTTAGGCTAGTGCTGAGGTCGTGGGGTCCTGGATGTTATAGAAAGAGGAGTCGCTAGGGGTGGAGATGCCTTTCTCAATTTCTCAGACCCTATACATCCCTAAGGTAACAGCTGGGGGGGGACAAGACTATGGGGTGGCATTATCTAACCTCAAGGGGTTCCCATACTCCATTTGTGCTTAATTTGTCGAGCTCCATTAAAGAATGGAAGAGCTTGTGGTACTAGCCTGTCGAGAGATGGGACATAATGGAGGGATACCCCCTGGCGCCTCTTACGATCCCCACGAAGTATTCCACACCTAGTGAGTATTGTTGCCTTGCAATTTTGGTTATTTTTCTTCGATTCAGATCCTAACCATTCTTTGCTTTTGTTTTTGAAGGCGCCCTTCCTTGGTGTGAGATATCAGCAGACGACTTCGGCATAATTTGCATTGTCTACCGGCTGTCCCCGAAGAAGAGGTCATATCACGAGCTGATCCGGAAGAACATTCATTTCCTAACACACGATCTGATGGCTTCCCAAGGTAGATTTACAAAGTGGAAATATCGCATGGGTTTTTTGACCTTTTGATGCTTGTAATAATTTCTTTGTTCCCTTGCAGATAACTTCAACAAGAAGAGGCCGCTGAGGCCCGACTTCAAGATAATTTAGAAGATGATGGAGGCGAGGGCCTTGAAGACCTCTTCATCTGCCTACAAGAAGCAGATGAAGGATCTGGCTGACACCAGTAAGAGGCTTCAGCCTTCGACGAATGAGGAGGTCGAAGAAGACCTTGCGGCGAATCTGCTAAGGAAGGACAAGAAGGCCGCGAGCCCTTCAAAGGGGCCCACTGTGGCGAGGCCACTCCCAGCCCTGAGGCAGACAACAATCCCAACCAGGGTGGCCCTAAGGGAGAAGGTCTTTGAACCCTCCGTGGCTATCCCAGCCGCCTCTGCTGCCCCGGTTAAAGCTCCACTTTCAGTCGCTCCCATATCTCAAGTGCCGGGGCAGCCAAGGAGAAAAAGGGCTCGACCTACAAAAGAGGTTGAATTTTTGGGCGTGTACATCGAAGAGCCTGTCAAAGAAGTGCTGGAGGCTCTATCTCCTAAGACAACAGCAGTGGCAGTGGTCCATAACAAGTACTGGACCGAGGAGTGTTAGGAACACACTGCCTCGTTCACTGTCGAAGACCTCGTGGCAGCCAACAGTGCATGCATAGCTAGGGCCCTCAGCACAAGTGTTCAACTGAAGGGCCTGATCAAAGATTTGAGGGCCAAAAATATTGACCTGGCCAAGTGCCTCGAGGAGGCAATGCAGTATGGGGATGAGGTTTGGGCTTCCCGGGAGAAGGCCTTTGAGGCGAAGTTGGCGAAGCAGGAGGCAGAGGGTCAGCTGATGAGGGTCAATGCCGATGTTGAAAGGCTGAAGAAAGAGCTGCATGAAATTGAGTGTTAGGTGGCTGCTCTGACGAGGCGAATTGATCACGCCAACGAGCACCACCGCTTGGCTACTTCTACTCTGGAGGACCCCAACAAGGAAAAGGCTGAGCTGAAGCAGCAGACGGAGGCCCAGGCTGAAGAAATTACTTTCTTGAAGGGGGAGCTGAAGTAGGCAAGGGAGGTGGCTGTGCAGAATTTCATTGATCACTTCAAGGAGCACCCCCTGTACGACGACTTCTCCAACTACTGGGCCTCATAGAGTGCCCAATGACTATTGGGTCAACTGAAGGAAGTCCACTCCACTTTGGACATATCTTCTTCGGAGGCAGAGTTCGGTGGGCCTACTGGAGGCGGCCCAACAGGTTTGCCGAGGAAGCTCCAGAGGCCCATCCCAGAGGAAGAATCGATGGTCAAGGAGGAAGACGCCCCAGTAGAGTAGGGCTATTTTTGTAATGGCTTTGGCCTCCCTTTTTGTAACTTGATTTAAAATGAATGGAATGAAAATTTTCCTTTTAAGTATTAGTGTTTCCTCATTTTTCTTGTGTTGAACTGTTTATACTGGAGTAAATGAATGATAAGCACTTAAGCAAACATTAAGCACCACTTACAAATAACCAGTCGATAAAAGGGGATTGGATCAATAACATATTGAAGAACCGAGGCAACAACTCATTAACTGATGTGACACAAAGAACTGAAGTATCATTACTTAAGAAGTTACATCGTCCTTCACTAAGGCAATTTCAGCACTTAGTAAGATCGGGAAGTTACAAATGAGATTAGATCATGACAAACACTTATTAGACAACATGGAGATCGGATCTGAACATACGTTCATCATTGATATTACTTCCTCAAGTGTTCGATGTTTCATTGATGAGGCACTACTCTCTCTGTCATGTCTTCAATTTCAAAAGTACCAAGTTGGGATTCCTTATAGATGCGATAAGGACCTTCTCAATTTGGTCCAAACACTCCGGCCCCAGTTGGCTTTGACTATTGGAAAACCCTTCTAAGGACGAGGTCCCCCAACCGAAGAGTTCGATTTCTGACCTTAGAGTTGTAATAACGGGTCATCTTTCTTTGATACTTAGCAAGTTTCACTTGGGAGGTATTCCTCCTTTCTTCAAGGAGGTGCAGTTCGCTCATTCAAGCTTCATCGTTTTCGATCTCATTGAAGTGTATCTGACGATGCGATGGGACTCCTACCTTGACGGGGCTCATGGCTTCGGCTCCATAGGTTATTGAGAAGGGTGTCTCCCCTGTCGTGGTTCGGCTAGTTGTACAGATGGCCCAAAGGACGTGGGAAAGCTCATCGACCCACATCCCTTTCGAGGCATCAAGCTTCCTTTTCAGGGTATGTTTGATGGTTTTGTTCACTGTCTCAACTTGCCCATTTGCTAGGCGATGATGAGTTGTTGAGAAATCTTTCTTTATCCTCAGTTCATTGCATAAGTCTCGCATCTTCTTGTTGTCGAACTGTCTCTCGTTGTCGGACACTAAGGGATGGGGAATGTCAAACCTGCAAATGATGTTCTTCCAGACGAATTTTGTAGTATTTGCCTTGGTGATCTTAGCAAGAGGTTTAGCCTCGACCCACTTGGTGAAGTAGTCAATGGAGACAATGGCAAAAGTCATGCTTCCTCTTTCTTTTGGGAGTGGACCAATGATGTTGATGCCCCATTTGGCGAATGACCACAAACTGGTGACTACGGAGAGGCTCTGAGAAGGTCATCTTTGAATATTTGAGAAGTGCTGGCACTTATCACATTTCTGAACGAATTGGCAAGCATCACTTTTCAGGGTTGGCCAGAAGTAGCCTTGTTGGAGTACTTTGTGTGCCATAGCCATTCCTCCTGAGTGATTTTCGCAGATTTCCTCGTGGATCTCCCCGAGTATACACTGGCTTCTTCCTCTCCTACACATCGGAGAAGTGGTGAGGCAAAGCCTCTTTTGTAGAGGACATCCTTTTGTAGGATGAAGTGCGCAACCCTCCTTTTTAACTTTCTCGCCTCGCTTCTCGAAGTTGGTAATGATTGATCCTTGAGATAGGCCATGATGGGCTGCATCCATAGTGGGATACTTTCTATCCATAACAACTCTTCACCTCCGGAGATGAAGGGCTTCGATAAGCGTTCAATGGGGACAATCTTTAGTAGCTCCGAATCTTTATTGCTGGACAATTTTGACAGGGCGTCTGCAAGAGTGTTCTCGAGGTGTGGGACTTGAATCAGTTCGAACCTCTCGAAATGAGGGACTAGGTCCAGGACCAATTTTAAATATGCAGCCATGCTACTGTCTTTAGCGGCAAAGTTCCCATTGACCTGACTCACCACAAGTTGAGAGTTGCTGCTTGCCAGGAGCCTTCTGACCTGCATTTCTTTCGTAAGACTAAGGCCTGCTAGAAGGGCCTCATATTTGACAGCGTTGTTCGAGGCTTTGAAGTCGAACCTTACTGCGCAATTTAGCTTGTGGCCTTCCGAGCTTTCCAAGACGATCCTAGCTCCTAAGCCAGTTTCTCCTGAACATCCATCCACGAACAGGTTCCATTTTGGGGACTCGACTGGTTTAATTGCCGCCTCCATTTCTGGGGTTATGGCAAATTCAGCTACAAAATCTGCAAGAGCTTGTCCTTTGATGACATGTCTGAGTTGGAACAATAGATCGAAATAACTTAGCTCGATTACCCATTTTAGCAAGCGGCCCGAAGCTTCAGTTCTCTGTAGCATCTGCTTTAATGGGAAGTTGGTAAGAACCTCAATTGAATGAGCCTGGAAGTACGGCCTCAGTTTTCTTGACGCCGTGATGAGGGCGAGTGCCAGTTTTTCTATGTCCGGGTAGTGAGTTTCTGCTGAGAGTAGTGCTTTGCTGACATAGTATACCGATAATTGGTGCTCGTTTTCTTCTCTGACTATGACTGCGCTGACGGCCTCGTTCGAGACTGCCAAGTATAGCAGTAGTGATTCCTGTGGTTTAGGTTTGGATAACAGAGGTGCCTCTCCTAAGTGTTTCTTCAGTGCTTGGAAGGCTTCCTCCCACTCATCGGTCCATTGGAATTTCTTTTCTTGCTTCAACACTTTGAAGAAGGTTAGGCTCTTATCAGTGGCTCTGGAGATGAAGCGACTGAGCGTAGCTATCCGACCATTGAGGCTCTGGACCTCCTTTGGCTTTTGAGGTGACCTCATTTCCAGTAAGGCCCTAATCTTTACCGGATTTGCTTCGACTCCCCTTTGGTTCACAATGTATCCCAAAAACTAACCCGAAGCCACGCCGAATGTGCATTTGAGGGGGTTCAACTTCATTTTATATTTTCTAAGAATATGAAAGGTTTGGTCAAGGTGACTTACGTGTTCATTCACCTGGAGGCTTTTAACTAGCATGTCGTCCACGTAGACTTCTATGGTTTTTCCAATAAGTTCGACAAACATCATGTTGATCAGCCTCTGATATGCAGCTTCGGTATTTTTCAATCCGAAGGGCATAACTTTGTAGCACTACAGTCCTCTGTCTGTGATGAACGCTGTGGCCTCTTCATCAGGTCGGAACATGGGTATCTGGTTGTACCTTGAGTACCTATCCATGAAGCTCAAAAGTTCATGTCCAGCAGTGGAATCCATAAGTTGGTCTATCCTTAGCAGTGGGAAGCTATCTTTAAGGCATGCTTTGTTTAAGTTCGTGAAGTCTACGCAAACCCTCCATTTCCCACTGGGCTTCTTCACAAGGATCGGGTTGGATATCTACTTCGGATATATAGCTTCTCTGATGAAGCCACTGCGGCTAAGCTTATTGACTTTATCTTTCAGCACCTCATACCGCTTCAGGTTGAGTGCTCGTCTTTTCTGTCGATGTGGAACACAGGATGAGTTGATGTTAAGGCGATGACAACTGATCCTTGGGTCTATTCCCACCATGTCTTCGTGCTTCCAAGCGAAGACATCCATGTTCCTTTTCAGAAAGCTTATCATTTGTTTTTTTGCTTCGGGGGATAGCGTCTTTCCAATTCGCAAAACCTGATTGGAGTCCTCTGGATTGATGAAGAAAGTTTCAAGTTCTTCCATTGGGGTCACATTAGGTTCTGAGTCAGTTATTCGGGGGTCTAACTCATCAAGAGGGTGCCCTTCTTCAGGGGCCTCTTCCATGTCGACGTCTTTATCTTGTTCGGAGGTATGCCTTGGTTCAGAGGCGTCGAGCATTTCGACGTCCAGGTCGGCTTCGTTCGCAGCCTCCCCTATGATCACGTTAACAGTACGGGGCTTTGATTTTCGCAAAGAGTTCAGGTAACATGCTCTGGAGCCCATCTGGTCGCCTCGGACCGTAGCAATTCCATGCTCAGTTGGGAACTTCGTACACAGGTAATGGATGGAGGTGACAGCCCAATGATCTTTCAAGGCGGGTCTATCCAATACTTCATGGTAGGCTGATCTGTGGTCTACTACCAAGAATTCCATGAAATGTTGGGCCACTAGAAGAGCTGAACCCATCTCGACGAGCAGATTAATTTGTCCTAGTGGGACGATGCTGTCTCCAGTAAATCCAAATAGTGGGTCGGTAATGGGGATTAATCCATGTTCAATTTGTATTTTATCGAAGGTAGAGCCGAATAGTATATTCATCGAGCTGCCATTGTCGACAAGCGTGCATTTGAGTAAGTTTCTTACTACTACAGCTCTTACTACCAATGTGTCACAATGGGGGTGGTGAACTCCTTGTGCATCTTCTTCGGAGAAGGTAATCGAGGCCATCATGTTGGCTTTTTGGGACTGGTTGACGATGTACGTGAGCATTGGTGAATCCTTTGCTTCCCTTGTGTAGTTTCTTCGGGCATTCCTAGTGTTGCCATCGATGTGAGGTCTCCAACGATCGTGTCAATTTCCTTGATGATTTGACCTCTAGAAAATGGGGCCTAATCTCTCTGTCCGGACTCTCCTCTTCTCCGAGGTGATTGATCTCTATGTCTCTTCTCACCCCTGTTCGGGGAGGCAGATCTGCGAGGTTGTTCGTCCCTCCTGAAGAGATGTGGGTTATTCCGATCTGAGCATCTAGGAGCGTCTCTGCATTCCCTGGTGCCGTGTCCATAGAGTTGGTGGAAGGTGCAGAACCTTGCCCCTTCTAAGGGTCTGCTTTACATCTTCTTCTTCTTTCGATTACTGTCAGTATCCCTAGATCGTCCCACCTCGGCAGGGGCATTCTCGCATGCCAATACCAATACTGCATTTAATGTGGCAGAAGCTAGTGCGTATTCGGACGTGGGAGCTATTGTATGCCCTGCCTGGGTCCATTGCTGGGTGACAAGGTGCACTGCGGGTCCTCGACCTACCTGCCTCTGAGGTGGAGGGAGTCCCCGCATGGCACGGTTTGGGTGATCAATTATCTCTTCACTGACGACTTCAACTCTCATCATTTCCACTAGTTCGTCATAAGTGGTAGGATTCTTGCTGCGTACATCCCTCCAAAACAAAGTGTTCATGTTGAGGCCGCCTTTCAAGGCCAAAAGGGCTTCTCTGTCAGTGACCTGTTCGTAATAGGTGATCTCATCTGTAAAGCTGGCGAGGTAGCTTTTCAGCGTTTCTCCAGGTGCTTGTCTCATATCCTACAAGCGTTGCACTAGGGCCTCTTCTTCTCTACGTGAGAGGTACTGGTTCAAAAAGACCTTTTTCAACTTTGGCCAACTCCAAATGCTCGGGGGGCAGCCTGCTGTACCACACTTCGACGGCTCCGGCCAGGGTTAGGTGGAAGGCTCTGCATTTCAAAGCAGGCGAGGTTCCCCTGAGACTCGTCTGTGTCATGTACTTCGTGATGTGCTTTTCTGGGTCCCATTTTCCTTCATACTTGGGGATTTCAGGGAACACGAAATTCGCAGGCATTGGAGAGATTTAGATCTCCCTTGAGAATGGGATATTATCATCATCATCATCATCAACAATCTCGTAAGATCGACACGGCCCTTCGGAGTCCCCATCATCTTGCATGTTTAGGGGAGGTGAACGTGCTCCTCCTCGGCTATCCCAATCAACTAAGTTCCTTCTCTCCTTTCTATTTCTAGGTGGAAAGGATACTTGTTCTTGCTCTTCCCTTGTCGAACTGATCTTTCCACTGAGTGAACCCTATTACTAGGGTCTCGCCTTATCCGGTCAAAGACAATGACTGACCTTTGTGCTTCATATTCTGGTGGGAAGTTATCCCAATTGCGGTTCTGCTAGCTGGCTCTCTTGCACATAGGATATGACTTCCGTACCCACTTCTCTCTCGAGGGGGGTTCTCTGTGCTGGCTCATATGGCCTCGGGAACGAGATGCAGGGACTTCATGAGCTGGGTAAGATCCTTGGGGCATTTGGGCGCCCTAATGAACTTGGGCTCGCATGAAGAACTCATGTATCGCCATATTCTGAGCTGTAATCTCTCTCATGCCCGTAGCTATTTGGGTCATTCCTTCAGTGAGCATGGCCGTTCTTTCACCTCGACGATGCCGGTGATGGGGTCTTTGGTGAGTGACATTGTTTCGGAGCACCTCTTCTTCAGAGGCGTCTATCCTGGGGTTTGCGTCCTCATTGCTGAAATTCATCTTATCTACTCCTTTTTCAAAGGTGATAAAAATCTGGATTGTAATTCGACTTTGTTCTTTTTCAAGAACGTGCTCTTTTTAGAATAAGTCAATGGCTTTCCAGTAGCTTTTTCGATGGAGAATGTAGAACTTTGGGTGGGAAGTTTTCCACAGACGGCACCAATCTGTTGATCTCATAAATTGGACCTCCTATGTGGCCAACCGATAGCTACTCCACGTGATCCTCCCTGCGCACAATCAACACACGGTCAGACGCACACGGCTAGTACCAGCTGGCGTGGTGACGGCCGCATACACTCCGACGGTCAAATTAATATCCGGTGATCGTAGCAGTGCCTGGGTTGTGCAAGAGAGTGGGGAGGAAATTATATATATTTTCTTGTTATGGAGAGCTAAGTTGCAAGAGTTTCATTACCTCTGCCTCTTGTCAAACCTTGGGTATTTATAGGTGAGGAGAACCGTTGGATGTGGGATACGTGTATGCATCTAACGGTGTGAAGCGTCTGCTCATAGGCGTCAATCAGGTGCGTCTGTAAAGTGGGCAGGTAATAACTTCTCCTGAGTTGAGTTGACATAAAGTTGATATGTCACATCAACTAGACCCTTAGAGACGTCAAATCAATTGAACTTTGAGAGCAGAGAGGATCTTGACATAGATCTCTTTCTGAAAGTGGCGGCGGAAGGAGAACCTTGGAATGCAGTGCACTTTGGCCGGTTCGGTAGGATTGTTTTGGTGGGAGGAGTCACTTCGGAAACACTTCGGGTTGGTGGTGGACACCTCTTATGGTGCAGTGGTGAAATTTCTGAAGTGGTTCCGATAGGGGCGTAACAACTATCATTGGGAGTTCTTTTTAGCATGATTGATATATTATTTTGATCAGATAAAAGTTAGGAAGGAAAATGATAAATGAAGACCATTTCAAAAGGAAATCACAAATTACAACAATCTCGAATAATAGAAAAACTCCTTCCACCAAAAAATGTAACTATTCAAAATAGTAGAATGCCATTAAGTTGTCTGACTAAATAAGCCACGATTTAAAGAGAATGCTTTGGAACTAACTACTACTAAGAAGAAAAAAAGAATGTGGAAAGTAAATAAAAAAAGGAAAAATAAATAAATTTTACACAACCCCAGCAGGAAATTTACTAACACTAAAAATTGAACCCTAGGGAACTATTAACAAATTTTTTGCTCTATACCATTCCCAAGTACTCAAGCAACACCAACCCAGAAAACATTAGCAAACAAGTAGATGGATGGAAAAAACACTAAAAAGTATTTTAAAGAAAATAATAAACACAAAAATTATGATTTGAATAGATTATTGTAAGACTTATTGGAGTAGAGGTTAAAAGCTTAAAAAATCAATTGTAGAGATGTTAGCAACTTACAAAAGGCATTAAGGAAGAAAAAGAAAAAGACTATTTTGACATATGCAACAAAGTCCATAGGTGACAACCTGACAGATTGACATCCTTGAGAATTAGCTTTTGAAGAAAATTGGACACAAACGAGGTCCACAAAGGTTGTATTATTGACCTCACCATTAATCACACAAGAACAATTGCCATCTCAAAAATGATGAGACCTACTAGCATCCCTCACAACAATTTCCCGTTTAGTAACCAAGGCTATAAGTTTAATTGCATTATGGCAATCATTGCAAATCCTATGACTTTGCACAAGTTGCAATGAGGTTGAATCAGAAGTGCTGATTAGTCCAAATGAAGCAGCCAACTTTTTCAGCATAAAGTTATCCAAATTATCATAGATATCCTTGGTTAGATGATGGGATTTATCTCCAGTGAGAAAAGCATGTTGTTGTTTCTTAATTTCTATCTCTTCAAGGTTTTCATGACTTCAGCTGCTCGAGGTTTCACCTTGTAATCCCTACTCATTGATTCAAATGTTTCCCA